CACACACACACACACACACACACAAAACAGATAAAAGAACATAATGATAAATTAAAACTGAGTAAAATTAAAATTGAAAATAGATACAATCAAAGGACTGTAAACATACTCTTACAACTGCCTAGAAGAGGAGGTATTTAGGGTAGGCATTCACTGTGAGGAAAGATTTCAGTGAGCAGGACTGACAGGGAGAAATATTGAAGCAGAAAAAAATTATGTAGGGGTGGGTCCAGGTATTAAGTTTCCCAACACTTATACAATTATCAAAACCTTTTTGAAAAAAAATAATAAAAGCAATATGAATACAGAGTTAGGTAGAAAGAACACAGTGCTCTCATCAATATTTGTTAAAATAGCTCATTTTTGCAGATTTTCCAAAAACAAAACATATCCATTGCTAGCCTCCTGATGCCCCCAGGTCCCTGGAAGCATCTGTGCACATGAGAGACTCTGGAAGTTAGGTCTTCATGGCAATGCAAAGGACAACTTTATGATGTTTTATATCATTGCCTTGGTTATGGCAGAAGTATCTGTATAAAAATATACATTAAACTCATTTCAAATTTATTAACACTGCACCACGGTTTTAATTTTTTTTTGCTTACCTATAAAACATGGGATAAAGTTTAGCTTTAAACCTATCTTTTTGGTTAAGGTTTTAGTTTCTCCTAAGTTTGTTTTCATTAACACATTGTCATCTACCAGCCTAGTGTAGGCAGAAATTAGAGTATAATAAATTTTATTCAGATAGAAGGCTTAAAATCTTTGCCTCAACTTTTTCATGATATTCTCTTATAGTTCGGACTTCATGAGAATCTAAATTTGTGGGCTTTTTATTTTTTTGAATATTCAGTGATTATTGGCACTGAGGCTGTCCTCCTCTTTAATACAGATGGAGAAGAATTTGGCTGGGTGAGTCGGTTTGGAAAGTTATGCTTAAAATTGATTCAAATTTTGGAGAAAAAATTGAATTTTTGAAAAATTTAATTTAAAAAATATGCATTTTAGTATTCAGAAGTAATAATGATTCATCTAGATTATAACTTTATGGTCAGTGTTAATAATCCATATATTTTCATAAATCAGCCAATGGAAATAAAAAAATTAAAGCAACAATCATTATTAGCAAATTGAACAAAGTAACCTGTTGTTTACTGTTAGTCACTGTTGCTTTTAATATTGGAATTGCCCCAAAATTTCCAGGAATTGGTTTTCATTTGTAGACTTCTCCACAGTACATGCATGCTGATTGTAATGATGGCAGCCATTGCATTTACCTGCACAATCCTAGTGGAGCTTGGTAAATATTTTTGATGGCAAAGGCCAGCAGTAGATTAACTTATTTGGGCAATTTAGTTAGGAGCTAATCCAAATCATTATGTTAGCATTATAACGCTACTTATACGTCCCAATTTTTTGCTTCAAAAATATGACTATGTTTCTCTTAAGTTCTCTGTGAAAATGACTTTACTCAAATTAGGATTCATATCTAGTTATTATTGTGTAATTTTCAAAAAATAATTCTCCTCTTTATTGTTGTCATTAAATTTTTTCTGAGATAATTTTGGGTGATTAATGTATTGCTAAACCAAATATTCATATATATTTGCATCCCACTAGTATCAAATTAATCTTGTCTTCCTTTTTACCAATTTCTTAATATGCATTTCTTCTTTTACTTAATTCTAAATCAGACCATCAATAAATAAAATGAATGTTATTTGCTATGAAAGATCGAAGTCTTCTGTTTGTCATAATTTAAAATTTGAGGGGGCTACTACTTTAAAGCATGTGTTTAGAGAGGTAGGGAAAGGGAAACAACTGATTATTTAGGCCTATACTTGTCATTTTTCTTATTGCTAAAATAATTTCTCTATTTTATATTATTGAAGAACGGTTTATAACTTTTTTGATCTTTTATAATAGATCCCCTGGGTGTATGTGACTAAGCTAATTTCTGAGTAATATCATGTGCAGAATCTAAAATGTTCTATGACTTCAGTGATAAGATTATTATTTTAAAAATTAGTGGTAGGCAGTAGGTAGGTTGTTTTCATGTTAAAAACTTGGTAAGATGATGTTTTCCACATTAGTGAATCCAAGAGGTTAATAAGGGAAGCAAACCACCTGTTTTTTATCAAAGTATGTTAAGTATTATCCCACTTAAACCACTTAGCATAGTTTAAAGACTTGCCAGATCTAGAGTTCAGGTAGACCATATATGATATGGAAAGATAATCAGAACTCAGTCCTCAATTCATAAGAATTGAGACAAAAATAATTTATATCAAGAGGAAGAGAATGAAAAACTGTTAATATATAAAATTATAGTGATTAACTTATTCACAGTTTTCTTAGATCTTCTATTCATTGCACATAGGATTTGTTTGAACAATTCTCAGAACTTGAGCTTATCAATACTAGCTTTGTGGATCTAAGAAGACACTAATGAGATGACATGCATCTGTTTGAGTTTGGTGTTTTGCCACCCATTACTTAGCTTTTAAAGAGAGGCTAAAGAGGGAAGACTACTTAACAGATATCACTGCAGCCGTGATTTGTGTCCTTCCTCCTGAGCACAGTTCAAATTGTCACAGGTTTCTTGAGACATTCCTAACAAAGTTTCTTTCTTCCTACATGTTCTGAGGTGTCTTAAGTTTTACACCTTAAAAAGCTGACAAAAATGCCTTCTTCCATAAGTAAATAAATGTTAGTTAACCATCATTTCACCGTGGAGACTAAAATTCAGTAACACCTAGAAATTCTGCTTGTTATCTTGACAAATTTGTTCCAGATATTTTCCTTTGATCAAACAGATATTAGAAACAATTTCATTTTTAACTCTCTTGTACAAAATACAGCCTTAGACGACAGCTATGTTAATATGGAAAGCTGGCTATGGAGTAAAAATGTTGAATTTAATGCTCACTTTAGCAATTTACTAGTTTCCTATTCCTAATCAAGTCAGTTAGTTTCTCTAAACCTGTTTACTTATCTGCAAATTTGGATGATAATATATAATAGCATTGTTACATTAGTAAATGAGATTGAGCATGTAAAAGTGCTTTGTACACTATAAATTACATGTTGGTGGTTAGCCATTATATGTCATTCCCCTCTTAAAATCTTGCCAGTTTCTTAACAAATAACTACATATCGTATAGATGAAAACAAAACAAAGTAAAATAAATAATAAATCAATAATAAATAGACTTATATCTGCCCACAAGATGATTATAGTTTGGGTGAGAAGATATGCAATATACACATACATGAGGAATTAGTAGGATTGAGTTTAAATAAAATAGTGAGCTCTTTATGTAAAATCTAGAGAGATTCATGTTAGGGGCATAGTTCTATTGCATAATTATTGCAATTATGCATAGTTGTAATTCAGAAACATTCTAGTAGATGATTACTCTTCAGCCAAGCCTTGAAGTTAGAGCAATATTTAAAATGGTGAAGGGAAAAGAGAGTATCACTCTGGATTGTAGATTGGAGGTAACAGAAATGTGGTTATAGTGGGGAGTGAAAATGAGAAAGACAGTGTAAGGAGAAGACGAAGAAAGTAATTTTGAGGGGAAAATGAGTCAATTTTGAAAAGGATGAGGGAGTTGGAAAATGAAAGACCAGTTGCAATGGACAGAAACTGTGAAGCTCAGAAGAAAAAGGAACAAGGAGGAAGATGACATAAGTAGAAGGAAGGAGAGCATCCTGAACAGTCTAGTTTAAGATATATTATTTTTCAGATGACTGAAAAATTCAAGTGGATATGTCTGCTCTCTTTAGACATAAAATTTGAACACTTTTTAGAAATCAAATAAAACAGAAGCCCAGATATAAAATGCACTGAATATACTTAATAAAACTCAACTATAAATAAGTTTGGGCAGTCTGGGTCAGTGTAAACTGCTACAGTGTGATTTATTACTGAAAAACTGTGTTTGGCCCCTTTGGGAAATGGACCACTGCCTTTCTTAATTATGTATCATGATTGTCATTGTGATTGAATCATTCTACAAAACATTCTTGAAGAATATTTAAGGTTTTCAAAATCCAAAGGTGTTTAAATCTAAGGGTGATTAGCTGAGTTACCTAAAATGTATCATTGTACTAGTCAACACTTTAAACCATGGGAATTATTAATATCTCATATGCTCAATAGCTTTTCTTTCTTTATAAATCAATATTATTCAAGACATGGGCCCTTTGTTATGTTCCATGCACTCTAATTAATACTAATTCCAAGGCTTTGCTCATGCTCTTTCCCACACTGGATAGAAGTCCCATAAACTTTCATAAGCAACATTTCTAAATCCAGAACAATTCTCAGTTATTCCTCTCCAAAATGATGATTAAGTGATTTTTGTCTTTTTACCAATTGTAGAGCACTTCACCTTTACTTTTATACTGCCCTTTATGGCGTCAGCTTCACTTACAGTACAAGTTCCTTAACCAAAGGAATGTGCTTTTCATATTTCTGACTATGTAGTGAATGAATCGTAACTTCTTTGGAGTCTCAAGCCTTTGGCAATGTGATTGGAGCTATAAGCTCATTCCCCAGAAAAACAATGCATATGCAAATATATGCACCACATTTTGTATATGATTTCGGAGAAAATATTCTGAAACACTTGAAGAAATATGGATGCCAGGATAAGAAATCCTGAGCTAGTTCTTAATAAACATTCCTGGACAAAGTAGGAGTACAATAAATGTTTGTCAATGCATCAACTATAGGTTCTCAAATAAGTTTTGATTTTTCTTAAAAAAAAAAACAGGCACTCTGAAGGAACTTGAATAAAAATTGATAATAGTCTAAAAGGGGGAAATAATACGGGTTTATGTGCATAGAAAAGCTTTGGCCTTAGGTATTAATCTAATTACAACTGTCTTTTTCTAGTAAAGATTTGTCACCAAGTACACATTTCTTATAGAGAAGCAGGTAGTAAATTTGTAAATGCAGGAAGCCTCAGAATACAAGATGCCTTAAAGAACCTTGTGCTTCAAAGTAAAAATAGAAGTGACAGTGAACAGGAGGAAGGAGGAGGATTTGCTGGAATGCAAATCGCACCCTTGGCTTCCTGATGAACCATGACTCAGAAGCTACCAAAGATATTAACCAATCAGCAGGTAGAGGTATGCTGAACTATAAAAAGTAAAGAGGAGTTCAGAAGGTGGCTGGAAGAAGTGATCTTTGAAGCACTCCTGAAAGTGAACAACTCCAACAAGATTAGTAAAGATAATTATAACTATCACAGAAATATTAATGGGACTTTCTGTATGTCCAGCATTATGCTAAAATCTTTTTGATTCTAAATATGTTGCTATGCATTTGACTATAATAAGGAACATTTAGGTGATGATTAATTTTAAATGATTGCATAAAATATCTTACAACTTTCAAAGTCAGCCGAGTGATATCATTGGGGATGTTTATGTCAGCCTATTTTTCTGTAAAATGAAATTAAATATAAAATATTGAAATGGGTCCATTCATTTACCAGGGTAATTGTACAGAAGAATTTCCAGAAGAGGAAATAAAGATGAGTTCTAAGAATTGAAATATGAGCAATCCATTTACAACAACTTCATACAATTATATGTGTAGTCATCTATAAACAAAGCCAATACCTACTATACCTAGTCCTCCAAAATCATAGATAAAAAAATATAAATTTCTTATGAAATGATTTAAAAATATTTTAAGATCTGTGGTTCTACAAATTTATATTTCTTATTACTACTACCAATGACACAAAATCTTAATTTTCTCATGTAATGAGTTTGATTACTAATTATAACTTTAAAATAGCTTAGTTTAAATTGTCTATCATAGTTTTTGGTGTACAAAACTTGAGCAGTACTCTTTAGGAATAACATTCAGTTAGTTGGTTTTAATTATTTAAATCTTAAAAATGTAAATCTGCCTTCCATAAGCCAAGAATATTATACTTGAGAAACACAATCCGGTTTTTAAAACAAGTATTAATAATCAATTTCTCCTAAGAAAGGGCTAGATACTGAAATTATATTTTAGTATTTCATGACCTACTTCATCCAATTAATAAATATTTATTGAATATTAACTTTATGAGATATAATTTGGGATAAAGATGATTAAGATATCCTCTTTACTTATGAGGAGCAATTCTTCTAATAGGGAAGATAATATACAAAAGCACTTACCTCACAGAAATCCTCCCTTATCCTGGTGGTTACATTCCAGCTCCCCTAGGGTATTCCTGAAATCATGGCTAGTACTAATCATTATACTATGTACTATGCATGGCTTTCTTTTTCCTTCTTCACTATTTTATGAATACATTTGTTCTTATCATGGCTCTTAATGATCTCAGCATATGATTCTTTTTTCTTTCCTTATTAACTCAAAAACTTTCACCTTGTCACTTAAAAGAAGCATTTTATGGCTTCTCTTTGGCATATCCTAATTGCCAACACCCCCACTCATATGCTTATGGGCCATTATTAAGTAAAATAAGGGTTACTGGAACACAAGCACTGTGATACCAATAGCCAATGTGACAACTGCCAGGACTACTAAGTGACTAACAGGTGGATAACACAGACAGCATGGAGATACTGGACAAAGAGATGAGTCATGTTCTGGGCAGGATGGAGTAGGATGGTGTGAGATTTCGTCACGCTGCTCAGAACAACTTGAATTTTCAAACTTATGAATAGTTTATTTCTAGAATTTTTCCATTTAACATTTTCAGACATAGTAATGGGTAACTAAAACCACAAAAAGTGAAATCGTGGGTAAGGGGGACTCCTGTAAAAGGTTGAAAGTGTAAGTATCATGGGCTAGCATTATTTCCTTAATCCCAAAGAAAAATATTCCTTCTAAAACTTCATACATGAACTGGTGTTCCATCCTACGCCGACTGGTGGGCTTCCAGTCTAATCTCATGCCTAAATATAGGTCATGAAAATGTGTTGAATGACTTAACCCCATACACCTTGTATCTGATTATTTCTTGTGGATTTTATTTAAGTATCCATTGTCTTTATTTGAACAACAAATAACAAATTATCACACACTTTTCTCCAAAAGCATTTTGTGGGTCTTTCTTAGCTGTTTGTATTATATCCTTCCTGAAAACAACCCAAGCTTTTCAAAACATTTCTAAACTGAATTTGAATGTCTTAATTCAAATGTGGCTGCAGGCTCATCTCAGAGCAAGCAATAGGTAAATACTTGCTGACCATGTATTAAAAACATCAGGAGTATGTACTGATTAAAACATACATCATCACAAGTATATGGTTATAAACATCTTTTAATTCTAAATTTGTTGCTATGTAGTTGACTATAATAAACAACATTTATGTGATGATTAATTTCAAAGAATTTCATATATTGTCTTACAACTGTTTAAATCAGCCTTCAGTACAGTAAGTATCATTGTGGATGTTGGTATCAATCTGTTTTTGTATAAACATCTTTTAATTCTAAATTTGTTACTATGTAGTTGACTATAATAAGCAACATTTATGTGATGATTAATTTCAAAGAATTTCATATATTGTCTTACAACTGTTTAAATCAGCCCTCATTACAGTAGGTATCATTGTGGATGTTGGTATCAATCTGTTTTTGTTCAAAATGAAATTAAATGTAAATATTGACAAGCAAAAGCATCTTGTCTCAAAATAACTTACTTGAAAAGTAATGCCACTCCAGGAATTTTGTGGGGGATAGCTTTTACAACCAATTGGACTCACTCTGTATTCATGAACCCTTAACAATGCTTCTCAGTCTTTGACAGTTTGAGTGCATTAGTAAGTCTTTCAATCATAGAAAAAAATAAAAAGATATTTTTTCTGCTGTTTTCCTAGATGCCTTGAAGTTAACCCAACTTTTATTTACTTGCCCCAAGATAACAAATTAGCTGGGAAAGTGGCTGAGGAAGCATGTATAACATGTTAAAAAAATTAGTGTTATAATAAGCTCTACCTCGTATGAGGGAAGGTAAACTCCATTTCTCATAAAAAATTGATAGGAATGTATTTCTGAGCTTTCCACTGCCCGTTTAATATGCATAAAACCTAGGAAATACGTAGAATAGATATGGAGCACTTTTGCTTCCATCAAAAACCAACAAAGTCCAAA